TTGAAGTTGATTGCCAGCTGATTATGAATCAGCAACACATTCTGGCTACTGGAAAAAAAATGCAATTTTTTTGCTTCATCAATAGATCTATAATTATATTTTGTATAAGTTCAGAAATAAATTTAAGATTATATTATATGTAATATTTGAAAAAGAAAAAAGAAAATATATTAGATTCACATTCCATTATTTTGAAAACATTCACTGTGTAAGTTTCTAGAGTTGGCCTTTCCTTTGGCACTCAACATTTCTCTGATAAATGTGTTAATTCTGAATGTAGAGTCACAGTACATTGCATCCAGGATGACTTCAGAAGTTTGAGAATTGTTAAAAATTCAACAGTGTCTTGCATTGTTTAATAAGAATTTATATCATCAAAGACAGTGAGTTAATACTGAACATTAAAGGTCAACCTGAGAAACAGTTTTTTGTTATTATTTTACAACTTTTAAAAGATTATTCCATTTCTTCAGTTGTTGGGATTTTGTCTTTGTGAAATTTAATTTTCTATCAGGTACAATGGAACTGCATCTAATTGTTGCTTACAATATCTCTTGCAATGAGCTCTTTCATTATTTCATTGGTACCACCATAAATTGGCTGAACACGAGAATCCACAAAAGATCTGGGGGGGAGGAAAGATATGGAAGTATATGAAATAAGCATGCCAATACTAATAAATATAAATATCTATGTCACAGGATATACCTTTTCCTACCAAGATAATGTATATTCTTAACAATGACCTTGTTGTTAATGGTGATTTGTAGCTTTTGAGATAATGTGAAATGCAAATTTTAAGTTTCTGCAACCTTGTTTTCCAGAATGTTTCTAAGACATATACAACCCAAAGCTTGGGAATAAGAATGAGAAGTATAATTGTTAAAGCTCAGAATGGAGGAAAAAGAAAAGAGGTATGATTCACATTCGCTGCTTAGTAAAAAGACAAAAAGGAGAAAACTGGATGAAGAGGAGGAAAAAGAAAGAAAAATAGTTGTAACAAAATAGCTAATAGTGAAAACACAAAGATAATTGTGAGGATGACTGGCAATCAGACGTGAAAATCAAAGAAATGACAAGCCAAGCTAAAGCAGGTGGTATGAAAAAGGTATTCATGTATTTAAAATACGTATATGCTACTTATCATACCACCAACAACATTAAATAGTTGAACTTTCTTTTCAAATAATAATAAAACATATACAATAATCTCTCTTCTCTGTCAAATGTCAAGGCTGGGAAGGAAAAGCAGGGAAAATGCTTGTAGGTTTTTCTGTGTCTGCAAAGAGATTCAACCAGTTTGCCTTTTTGTAAAATGGATGTTATAGCAATAGCAATAGCAGTTCGACTTATATACCGCTTCATAAGGCTTTCAGCCCTCTCTAAGCGGTTTACAGAGTCAGCATATCGCCCCCACAATCCGGGTCCTCATTTCACCCACCTCGGAATAGCAATAGCAATAGCAGTTAGACTTATATACCGCTTCATAAGGCTTTCAGCCCTCTCTAAGCAGTTTACAGAGTCAGCATATCGCCCCCACAGTCTGGGTCCTCATTTCACCCACCTCGGAATAGCAATAGCAATAGCAGTTAGACTTATATACCGCTTCATAGGGCTTTCAGCCCTCTCTAAGCGGTTTACAGAGTCAGCATATCGCCCCCACAGTCTGGGTCCTCATTTCACCCACCTCGGAATAGCAATAGCAATAGCA